AACCCTCGTTCGCTGAAGGAGGTCACGTCGCGTCGCGTCCCGTCGCCACAGCTCCTGTACCACCGCTGAGCGGCCGGGTCACCGGCTCGGCTCCTCAGCGAAAACCTGAATATGCGCTGCATCTGCTGCCTACTTATACTCACGCTGTGATCAGCGGCAGCTGGATGCAATAATCGCATGCCAATGTGCATTGGCTCGTTTAGTTTACACTCGAAGTAGATTGGTCTCTCTAAGCGAGATCCCAATTCGTCGGTCATCCGACGTGACGTCTCCGTTCCCTCCTTCAGGGAACGAGGGTTACCATACGTAACCGAGACGTTCTTTTTAGCAACATCATATGACCCCTTTAAAGAGTCAGTGAAAAGGATTCACAATCTTAAACTCATTTGCTCTTGAGTCAGTTTGAAACAGACTAAAGTGTGTAATACACTGCACGACTTTTACAATCTAAACAGATTTTAAAACACTAGGCATCATACACTTTCTGACTTTATAAATAGTTGCAGAAAAAACTTGGCCTCATACACTAAACAACTGAGGAACTCACACTACCAGACTTTCAAGTTGTTCCGAACACAACAAACTCGAACATTTGCTTTGTTGCTAGAAGATATGTGACAAATGAAAACAATATTTGTTCTAAAATTTACTCAAAATATCAAACATGTTTGATGTCTTCTGAATGGATAAAATCAGAGTCTAAAGCTAAAAACTCTTGAGTATTAAATAAAAAAAATCATAAATCATAAAAATGTAAGATTAAAAGAATTTTAAAATAAAAACAATTGAAATAAAACACTTATGAAAAATATTAAATGTGTTTACCTGCATGTCATATGACAATTAACTAACATCAGAGAACTGTGGACATGTAAATGTGTCATTAAATTAGTAAAATTTTAACCTTAAATTACTGGGCTACTTCTAGTAAATATTTTATATCCAAGGGGTTCAGCTGACAAAAAGTATAGGAATCCCTGAATTACATAACTAAAAAAAAAAAAAAGTTTATTTGTAATTGCTTGTGAAATTTACCAGCAATTTGTGAATGAAAATTATTTCTATACTAATTTTTTTTCATTGTACTTAAATAGCCATAGCCTATATACTGTATAAACCATGCATTACTGCACCAAATGGTTCTGTAATTTGTCAACGAAAAAGTCATTTGGCTCCTAAATGTATCATTTTAGTAACCTTTTTTCCCATCTGTAGCCCTTTTGCTCTCTTTGCCCCTGCGAGTTCTTTTTGATGTAAAAATGCTGCACAGAGAAACAGTACAGAATTTAAAACAGTTGAAAGAACCAATTAAATTTCCATTACATGTACCTGTACCGCTCTTTCTCTCCCTTTAAACGGAGTGATATATTTAGGAGGGCGAACTGCAGATGCAGATAAGGCAGTGGGTCATGCAGGTCTCTGCCAGTCTGCTCTCATGTTAACATCCCTTGCAGATTTATGGCCACTGACCAGGTAATCAAAAAGCAGGAGGCTGAGCCTGCCAGACCAAGCTTGCATAAAAGCTCTTAGGACAAAAGAGCATGTCATTTTCTCTATACAACAGACACGAATGATTCTCTCTGCCTGCTCCACACGCATGATGTAACCAATCACTTCTGCAGTAAGAGACATGCGGCAGGGTGGCATGACATTCTGTGTGTGGTTTGTGCTCAATATGATGGTTAACTCTGGAAGGTAAATTGATCCATAAACCATGATTTCAAAGGAAGTTAATTTACAAATTTTAATTATGTCATTATTCATGTACCATATTGTCTGTATAAGTCCAGAAGGCATTGAATATAGTGCATCAGTAGTATGAAGTACTTTTATTGATATATTTTTTTACAAATATTTTTAATAATATTTTTTTTGTTTACACTAGACTAGAAATTTTATTGTTTTAATAATATACAATTTAAATGTTTCAATAATATATTTAAAATTTATTCCTGTGATGGCAAAAGTGAATTTCATCATCATTACTCCAGTCTTCAGTGTCACATGGTCCTTCAGAAATCATTCAAATACGCTGATTTTGTGCTCAATTATTATAAATTATTATTGGTACTTAAATATGAATTATGTTTCTTATTATTATCAATGTTGAAAACAGTTTATTTGAGATAGAAATATTTTGTAGCATTATAAATGTATTTACTGTCACTTCTGATCAATCCTCACTGAATAAAAAGTATTAATTTATTTTCATTTTTTCCCCTAAATCTTACTCCTAACTTTTGAATATTAGTGTATCATGTCATGTTTTCCACAAACATATTTAGCAACACAACTATTTTTAACATTAATAATTAATACTACTAATAAAAATCAGCACATTTACATTTTAAAATATATTCAAATAGAAAACTGTTCTTTTTAATTGTAATAATATTTTACAATAGTACAATTTTTTTTTACTGTGTTTTTAATCAAATAAATGCAGCATATTGAAAAACATTTAAAAAATCTGAATTATTCCAAACTTTTGACCAGTAGTATATGATATGATGATATGATATGATATGATATGATATGATATATGATATCAATCATATCATATCATATCATAACATATCATATATTGGAGTTGCTTGACAGTCGTGGTCACATTAAACTGTCAGAAATGAGAAAAATTTTATTTTGTGTTCCATGAAAAAAATAAAGTAGTATAGGTTTAAAATTACATTATAGGGTGGAATAAATGATGACAAAATATTATTTTTGGAGAGAACTGTCTCTTTTATGCATGCAGCCCTATTCGAAAAGAAAGAGGATACTCAGAAGTGGCATAAATGCATTTACATACCAATTGCACTTTTATACAGTACTTCAACTCAGAGCAAGCGTAATTTAGTCTGGCTTTTATGAGACATTGTGTCTTTACATAGAATTTTCAGGCACAGAGCAGCCTTAACTTTGCTGTGTAAAGACGCCTTTAGAATGATTTCTGAAGGATCATGTGGCACTAAAGACTGGTATAATGGCTGCTGAAAATTCAGCTTTGAATCACAGGAATAAATTACATTTTATAAATATATTAAAATAGAAAAGAGTTATTTTGAATTGTAAAAATATTTCACAATATTACTATTTTACTGTATTTTTATTAAATAAATGCAGCCTTGGAGAGCATTCGAGACTTCTTTCAAAAACATTAAAAAATCTTACCAACCTCAAACTTTTGAGCACTAGTGTAGTGAATGAAACATGAATTTCAAAACATGAACATGATTTCATGTTTAGAACAGAACAGAGTCTGAGAAACACATTCAAGATGACATGGTATAAAGCAGATTACACTCACCATCCTTATCAGCTCTCCGGAAAATCTGAAATGATACACATACACACACATACAGAAATACAATATATTAATAAAAATTATTATTCATTTATAATTCACATTATCATTATAATTCACCTAAACCTTCAAATAATTCATCCAAAAACCTGATCAACTGCTAATCAAAGTTTAATATCAGAAACCTGTTTGATTTCAGCACTAAACTTATTATTATACAGCTGTCTAATCTTAAATGTACATACAACAATTATTTTTAGACACTGGCTGCAGAAAAATAAAGTACATGCTAGAAAAGATGGATAAAAGTAATTAATAAAAGCGTCTCTCTGTAGAGTTCAGTGTCAATCAACCTACTCAGTAGAGCTATTAAAAGAGACGCTGGTTCTATAGATAGGCTGACTGCAATTCAACTGCATGATACCTTGGCCCTTAATATGGTGCAATGATTAATCTTTACATTGCATTCAGAAGACCACCAACACAAATGATATTATACAGGCATATGATCAGCTAGAGACAAAAATGCAGGAAAATCTGACCATGCCCCCAGGACTTATTATTTAAAATATATATATTTTATCACATTAAAAGATATATCTTATATTGTAATAATATATACTATTGTCCTGTAAAAATAAAAAGCAACATTTAATAATAATGATTATAATATAATATAACAAGTATTAATAAAATTGTTATTATTAAAGTACCTGATTATTATCAATGTAGAAAACAGTTGTGCTGCTTGAAATGGTGATGCATTTTATTTTTCAGGATTCTCTGATAAATAGATATTTCAATGAACAGCATTTATCAAATATATTTATTACATTTATTAAAACATGTATTAAATATAAATCTTTTGAAACATTTTAAATGTCTTCACTCACTTTTCATCTCTTTAATGTATGATGAATAAAATTATTAATTTCTCTCTTTAAAAAAATAAAATAATAATAACCACAAATGTTTGAGTGGTATCATTGTTTCCACAAAAATGTTAAGCAGCAACAAACTGTTTTTAACATTGATAATAATAAAGAGTAAATGTTTCTTGAGCAGCAAATCAGCATATTAGTATGATTGGAATGATCATGTGACACTGAAACACAAGTAACACGTTTCAGCACTGATTCTATCACATTTGTATAATGCCATAATGTATAAGAAAACATAACCTTTTCACAGTTTATTTAGTTAATTGCTTAAGACCATTTCGCAGTCTCAATCATCATGCAGTAACCAGCATCACCCTGAACACCCCCCACCCCACTCCCGATTTTTTTTTCATTACTCATCTGCATGATTCACATGAGTCATGATTTTAGGCCGGAAAACCCCCCCCGGAATTCTGGATCAATCCGGAAGAATCACATTCCTGATTATAACCTTTAAGTTCCTTTTTAAATCAAGACTAAGCAAGTTTGTATATTGCCGATGTGTTTGGTTGAACTTGTAAGAGACTGAGTGAGGTGCTACTTAAATCTGCAAGAGCAACCTGATCACACGGTCCAGTCAGATGTGAAATGGACCACTTAAGACTCTCTGGTAAGAGGAAAATAACAGTCAATAGAATGTGCTGGGAAGCGTTACTCACTATGGGCTAATTTTACAGCAGTCGATCCATTCAGCCTTCAGCCTTTCTCATTTTCTAAATAAATAAATGAAACGCGAATTGTTGTGATCAGATCTGGATGTCCATGTTAAATGTACTGGCTGCACAAGGAAGATTAGAGGTGCATGTTTATGATTGGACGTGCATGATCGTGTCTCGAAGAGGAAGCGTGTGCCGAACATCCGATAATTGAAACACATATTGACAGCACACAATTTGATCTGCTTCAATAGAGTGATCACCTTCTGCTGATGGTCAAAATCACTTCTCAATTGGATGAGCCAGCTGCTTCATTCAATCCTGACAGCTAACAGCATTCCACCTGTCAGGATACTTCACCATCACAGAACAAACGCAAAAGCCACATAGAAGGGATAAATGGACATCAGGACAACCACTGAAGCATCTGCAGTCGAACAACAATGGGGCTTTTCATTCTCTTGAACTAAGAGGAGAGTGAATGTGGGAACAGTGACATGTCCGATCAATACTGTAATGTATTTTACAAAGCGCTTGAGAAGCACTATTGGTATTTAATCTTCCTAGCCATTTTATATCTTAAAGCAAAAGTGTCTGCAGCATTAATTGCCAAGTCCGGTTCTCAACTGGTGGGCCGTGACCCAAAAATTGGTTGCTGCAGGGATGCTCTGATTTTGTGGACTGTAAAGGAAGTAAAACAAAATGGAAATTATAAAATTCTAACCATATAACCATGCATATTTAAATAAATAAAAATAAAAAGGATTACAACTAGGATTATCAGACTCTATTAAATTGGGGTTCACCTGCAATAAGGATAAACATGGTTTGTGTGGTGAATAACTGGCTGCCCAGAATATGAATCTATTGCAATTCATGAGACATTTAGAAACTAAAAGTTTCCTACTCGGCATACATTACCGTTCAAAACTTTGGGGTCAGTAATATTTTCTTATTATGTTTTTGAAAAAAGTCTTTTATGCTCACCAAGGCTTGATCAAAAATACAGTAAAAATTTTCTGCTTGGTTAACAGGACTAACTTCTACCTTACATTTAGAAAGAATTAGATAAAATATTTCTGGAAACACAGCCACATTTGACAAAATGTGGGAACCTGTTTTCAGTTATTAATTATGTTTTTATATTATTATTTTTGTTTATTATACTTTAGATGCACAGTGTTTTTGTGATTCTTTTAGTGTGTATTATGTTGTTTTGTATTGTTATTGGGTTTGAAAACCATGTAAATATGAATAAAATATTATTTTAATTTAAAATAACTGTTTTCTTTTTTAAATGTTTTAAAAGGTAATTTATTCCTGTGATGGCATAGCTGAATTTTCAGCATCATTACTCCAGTCTTCAGTGTCACATTATCCTTCAGAAATCATTCTAATATGCTGATTTGCTACTCAAGAAACATTTCTTATTATCACAGTTAAAAACGATTATGACACTTAATATTTTGTAGAAACTGTAATACATTTTTTCAGGATTTATTGATGAATAAAAAGTTTCAAAAGAACAGCATATTTAAAAAATTTTTTTTTTTACAATTTAAGTCTATACTGTCATTTTCGACTTATTTGATGTGTCCTTGCTGAACAAATGTGTTAATTTCTTTCAAGAAAAACAAAATCTTACTGACCCCAAAATATTGAAGTAGTGTGAAGTAGTAGTCTTAATAGTGGCATAATGTTGGGACTATTAAGTGCATGGTAATATTAATAAAGGTCCATATTTTAAAGAAACACATTTTTTACATTTTGTACACAATTCCAGTACAGTGTTAAATCACCCCTTAAAGTACAAAATAAAATTCGGGTCCACTAAACGACAGGATCCTGCTTTGTTATCACTAAACCGGATCACAGCAAAAGTAGCAGATGATGTCAAATGGTCTAAAAAGTAAAAAGAGAAGTTGATAATGTTGAATAACATTTGTAAAAAATAAGAACAGAACCACCATTAGCTGGGAGTTACATCACTATTTCTTCATTGTGATTGTCTGCTTGATGTGTTTGAGAATAAAGGGGATGCACTAAAGATAGAAGGTTGTTAAATACCATTTGTATGGTCTGACAATATGAAGTCACTTAATGTAGGTGACCCAGTTTGTTTGCACCTCCGAAGATATATCTCTGTATGACAGGAAAAGGGGACAGTCAGCTACCAAAAGATCTAATGTTCTAATGTGAACTACAAAGCTACAAAGTTGCTAAAAGTGAGGGAGAAACTAAATAATTAGTACAGTTAATGTACATATTCATGCAGCTACAGTATAAATGGTAAATATGTATATAAATACGAATAAAGGCTTAGAAAAATACATTGCGGAGAAACCAGGTACAAAACAAAGAACAACTAGTGCATTTGAACCAAACCACTATCTATCCAGAACAATAATCAAATAAAATCCTGCAACTGGACCAAATCCAGACAACACAGGAAAAAATATGGCTCTGTTTCAAGACAATGACGTTTGTTCCCAAATTTCCTCTTTGGCCCATGAAGGCTAAAAGTGTCTTTGTGTTGACAAAAGAAGATGGAACAAAGAAAGAGATAATGAGGTATTAGGCAAAGGGAGAAAAAGATTTATAAAGAGTGTTTGAATGGAGAGAGTGTGACTCAACGAATGGACTTGTTTAATAGTCACTAATATGTGGACTCACATTTAGACTTGCTAAGTCAATTGGATTGATTCTCAATGCTTTGGCTCAAATCCAGTTCACTGAACAAATGCCAAATATCTTTGTATTTTGAAGTTCAAATCAATAGTGCAATAAAGTCTTTAGTAAATGTCATGTGTGGTGACCATTTGATCATCTATCTATTCTCACACATCCAGCATCCTCACTTTTAAAGCGTGAACTAGAGCGCTACTGTAATTTAGTGCACAGCATTCAACCCCAGTGGAAAAGAAATGTTCAAAAAATATTAAATTCACTTAATTACTCCCTTAAGCAAGATGAGGTCTGGGGCCTGAGACATGATGATGTAAGAATGAAATATTGTGAACTGGGAAACACACTTAGCCTTCTTTATGACAGCTTGTTAGTGCTCCACTGTTTTCACTGTCAGGTGTGGGGAAGCCGTGCTGAGAGAATTCGACACACCCTGAATGAATCCATAACTAGTCTAGCCAGTGAATCGAAAGCTTTCTGAAATGCAAACAGGGGCCTTTACAATTGCATGCTGGATGACGCTCTGTGGCTCTGTAGTTTACCAATGCAGTTTTAAGGCCCGGTCAGGGCTGATGGCTGATCCTGGAATAGACATGGCAGCAGACGTGTCATTTGGTAGAGATATATAGAGTTAAGTAATGGAATTCTCTCACAAAGCATTGGGGGAAATCAATTCCCCTACAAGCACCTGCGCTTCGTACCGAAGTCTCCAGGAGAAATCATGTACACATTCTCACTATCCATAAAAGACACAGCACCTCATTATCTGCTTAACCCCTCCCTTATTAATTTCCTCCACCTTCGCTATTATCTATACTTGGGTGCATTGGTGCCTCTGGTGTTTTTCTGAGGTTTTTAATTAGTTTTTGTCCCCTCTACTTTATAGACGTTTTACCTGAGACTGTATCTGGGTCTAGGACTGATCTACTTATCACTCTCTTAAATGTTTTAAATTCTCCCCTTAAAAGCAATGCAGAAATCTCAAGAGGTATGACCATCAGATACACATAATTATCCAACACCGATGAACAATACTGAGGCAATACTTTGACCTACTAAATCAATACTGCTGAGACCTCGCCACAGCCAACCACAAAGCATAACTGCCAGGCTCACAGGAAAAGCGCAATAAATTATTTAGATTCAAGTATGCTTCTCAGAGATACGGCCTTAAAATCAGAGCAAAAGAACTGTTGTATAACCTTAGAATGCTGAAAGGTACAGCTGGATGTTTCACTGCTGTTTCATACTAGAGAATCTAGTGTATCTGAGGGCTGTCCCCCCTAAAAATATGATTAAAAACCAGTCTGTGTATTGGAAATAACAATGTTTTATACGTTAAATAATTGTGTAAGCAGTAAAACAACACAAACGGGGCAAAATGCGTTTTAAGTTTAGAAACTTAAGTTTCTTAAAGGGGTCATATGATGCGATTTCAATTTTTCCTTTCTCTTTGAAGTGTTACAAGCTCTTGGTGCATAAAGAAGATCTGTAAAGTTGCAAAGACTAAAGTCTCAAATCCAAAGAGATATTCTTTATAAAAGTTCAGAGTCAGCCACACCTACCTAAAACGGCTCGTTCTAACACGCCCCCACATATCTGCCTCACTATGTGGGAAGATTTGCATAACGCCGCCCAAATGTGCACGCAAAGAAAGAAGGCGTAACTTTTATTCTCACTGTAGTATTGCTGACGCTGCAGCCATGTCCTGAAGATGCTGTGATAAAGCGAAACTACTTTGTTTGGTCTTCCAAAAGAGGACGATATCCGCTTCGTCATGCCTAGAGCTGATCTGTGCTGGTCGCTGAGGGAATACATCAACTTTCACCGTGGACGAAGCGGAGTCCAGCACGGGGTCGTCACATGTGGTGGCCGCAAAACCGCCGGACATTCCTTCGTCGAATCCGCCGGCCGCGCCGTTCTCAAGCCCACCGGCCTCTGCTCACTCTAGCCGGCCTCCGCATACTCTAGGCCGCTCACTCTAGGCCTCCGCTCACTCAAGTTGCTGCTCATTCGTCGGATCCGCCGGGCGCGCCGTTCTCGACCCCGCCGCCTCAGCTCACTCTAGCCCGGCCTCAGCGCACGCTAAGCCGGGGCTTCCCCTCACGCTAGGCCCCTGTGTTTTTCGTTGTGAAAGCCAAACTACTTTGTTTGGTCTTCCTAAAGAGGACACGACTACATAATAGTGGTTAAGTTGTATTTACAACACTGTTCCAGAACAGTTTAACCCAAATATCCAGATGTGTGCAGCACATTTTATGGAGGACTGTTTACTGATCCTGGGAGAGTAACGGTAGATTAAAATGCCAGCAGTTCTGACTCACGTAAGTACGTTTACATTTAAAGGATTTGCCACTGATGATTCAAACGCGAGTTTTGGGCAGTAGAGTAGCACTTGTTGTTTGTCATTTCTCTGATCACAAATGCAGACAGAGTTTTATGTTTACGCGGCACGATGCAATGCAACGCAACGCGTAAAAAGACAGTATAAGTCATTATAATCAGTAATTATGTCCCCACTGGATGCAACAAATGCCTCGTTTGTAATGGGTTTTAATGTTTATGTCTCGTAGCTCCGGCCCGGGACACGGCATCAACAGTATGTGAGGGGCGTAACATTTCCGTCTCACGCTTGAGGTATTCGGCCAATCACAACGCACTGGATAGCTGGCCAATCACAGCACACCTCGCTTTTTCAGACCGATGAGCTTTGTAAAAATCGACGCGTTTCAAAAAGGCGGGGCATAGAGGAGAAACAATAATGTACAGTATGTGGAAAATAATGTTTTTTTTTTACTTTAAACCGCATAAACACATTTCATTACACCAAATACACAAAATAATGTTCTTTTTAGCAACATCATATGACCCCTTTAAATAAAGTTTTGAGTTTCCCCCTCCCTTGACTCACAGTGCTTTGGTCCAAATGCCTGCTTTCCTCTTACATCGTCTACACACACACAGGAGAACAAAGCCAATAGTTGTGGAACTCCAAGGCTGTCAAGGCTATTTTATTCACTTAAACATCAGATGAAGTGATTATTTTCTCTTTAATACAAATGATGCCAATGTATTTTTCGATGAGTCGCTATGTTAGCAATAATAACCTGTTAGCAACGTTACCTGCTTGACAAAAAAGGGTTGCCAGGTTTTTTACAACAAAACCCTTCCAATTGCTACTCAAAACTAGCCCAAACTAACCGTTTCGAGGGGGTCTCCCGGTAAAAATCGCGTTCCGGGGCATAAAATACACGTTATTGGGGTCGCTTAACCCACGGCAACAGTGATAAAGTATCCCAATTCCACAGGAAAACCGCGGACTTGGCAACAATGTGACGGATACATCGGACACGAGGGCTGTCTCGGCGCGATCAAAACTGCTTGAAGTTGTCTAATTTGGCACGGTCTCCCTGCTGCACTAATAGTAGTAAGGCTTTCCTCTGTGTATACATATCCTTACAAGTACAATTTTAGCTGTATTATTTGTGTCCCCTTCAAAAATCGCTCTTGAGAACTTATATGTTTATTGTCCCCCCCAAGACGAAATTTACGCCCCTGCAGTTCGGTGTATTATTTCAATGCACGTAGCCTACTAAAAGCTCAACTGTATTTCAATATGACTGTGAATGTAGGCTACGTGTCACATTAGGGGGATGGACTTTGTCATACCCTAAACAGGGTTATCTTGCAATAATGACCATCTGGCTGTAAATTATCCCACTTATTATCAAATAAATAACTATCCTATTAACTTAAATAAAATATTGATTTTGAGTTTACATTGTTAGATGTAGATTATCTTAAAGCTTCCGCTAAGAAAAATAGTCCATTATACATTATAACACTGCAACAATATATTATACTAAAATTACCTGTTTTTATAGTTATCTATGATTTAGTTTGTAACTTATCTTTTAAGCTCTCTCTCATCCAATCCTTTTTATTTCTTTTCCGTTTGTTGTAGGCTATTTCCGACTGACTGCTTTTGGATTCTCGCTGGGGACTCTATGAGCTTCTAGCCATCCATCAAAGGTTTTATGCTCACAATGTAGGCCTATATTAAAATTAATACAGGCCATTTTTATTTCACGCGACAAACGTAGTGAGCCTTTCGAGTCGCTCGGTGGCGCCAAGAATCGATATGTAAAGAGCCTGTGCGCGGAATGATACGCGAGAGAAACGCCGATATGTTGCCAACGGCAACGGCGAAATATATAATTTAGGTTATTACACAAAAATTGATTGCTCACGTTTAGCCAATCAGAATTAAGTACTCCAGAGAACCGTGTAATAAAGTAGGCTATATTACACAATACACAGGAATGATAGTTAAGTGTCAAATTATGCAAAATGGTTGGATTGGATAAAAAGTTAAGTAGGTCGATGTAAAAATGTATAATTGCTGTAATTCATTGAGTGTCAGATGTTGGTGAGTTATCTAAGTGATATTCTTTGTCTAATTATGGGATTACTCAACAATCTTCTGAGGTTGTTTAAGGCAATTGAATAAAGTTTGTAAACGATTGCATGCATTTCATATTTCTTTATACATCAAATAATAAAATATCAAACACCTACATCCAAAATGACAGAAATGCCCTTTCGGGGCTCCGGTGCAAAGAACTGCTCCTGAGCCACTGCCGCCTCCTCCTTCACATATTCCCGAGTAGAGATGCTTTTATTGTCGCTCATCTTGGTGACTATCCAGCGGACGAGCCCGTCTATTCCACCGGACTGAGAGCCGCTGTTTCCGGACTGTGCAGCCGTCGCTGTCTCGCTGTCCTGAGCCCCGGGATTGGGCTGGTCTTTGCTGTCCTGTGCCCGGAGTTTGGCTTGTTCTTTGTGGAGCAGTTTGTGGACGCCGTCCCTGCAGTAGCGCGCTGCTTGTTCACACATCCTTTTGCCGCGGAGCGTTCATGCTGCGCGCTATGGGGGCGATCCCTCCCTCCTCTCGGACATCAGCAGCAGCAGCGGCACACATCCCAAAAACTCACCTCCTGTCACACCTAATTGGAGCAGTTCAATAAGTGCCATCCGTTTAGCTCAGATGCAGAAAAATTAACAAGAAAAGCATTATTTGCACTTTAGAGAGAGAGAGAGAGAGAGAGAGAGAGAGTAGCTACTAATACAGCAGGAATCGATGTTAATGCCCATTGATTCCAGAAAATAACTTTTGAATTAACTATGGTGATGTTGTTTGGGTCTATATTTGGCTTTGATTATTAGTTTCCTACAGTAACTCTCAGTTTTAGATATTTAGATCTACCATTCATGGATATCCCTTGCGAACATTTTTATTATATTTTTATTATAGTAAAAGGGTAGTAACGTTTTGTTGGCGGATTACCACAGCACAGTTGTACTAAAAACACCATGGTTAAACTATGGTTAGTGTAGCAAAACTATGGTTAATTTTTTTGTTTGTTTTATTTATAGTAAAACATGGCTAATTTTCGTATGATCTGTACCCAGATAGCACAGTCTGCAAGTTGCTTCATCTGGAAAGCACCTGCTGTGTACAAACATCTGATAGACTCTCTGATAGACAATCTTAAAGACATTTTCTTCACGTCTGTTTGACATCTAATATAAAGCATTCTATAGACGTATTGCAGATGAGCAAACACTCTAAAAAATATGTCTTGCAGATGTAAATGTAAACGTCAAATAGACACCTCCTTAATGTAGGCTATGTGTGCTATCAGGGTAGTCCATAACTGTAGTGTCCACTTAAAGGCACAATATGTAATTTTCGCCGCTAGAGGGCGCGTATTCAAAATAAACAAATAGACAAAGGCATAGTTTGATGACGCTGTGACTGAGTGTGGAATCATGGGAGTTGTGGTCTTCATCCCCACAGCCGATGCAATCCGACGGGACTCGGGCAGAAATCAAGTTCATGGATGAGCTAATGATTTTTATTAGCTATTTATTTATTAGCTATTTATTAACATAGTAGAATGAAGCAGGGTGAGGCTGAAAGCCGTCGAAGTGAAACGAGGCCGCTGAACGAGCGTGACACACGGCTCGAAAGCAGCAGAGCTTTTATTATGCCACAGTCGACCGCTTCCGCTCCTTCCGGTCGTGCGTATGTGGGGGAAAAAAGCAGCGCTGTTTTATCATACTAAATACATTTGAAAGTTCTGTTATAATGCTACTCTGTGCGGTTGTCACCGGTCTATTAAAACGCACGACATATTAAAGCGTCTTTGGTGTTTCTACAAAACAAAACCGGAAATCGAGGGGCTATTACGTCATTGGCAGGCGCCATGGGTGCAGCAGGCGCAATGATATTACGCAGCACCTGAAAATAGTCCACAGCACGCTCTCTGTGCAAGCAGGTGGTCACATTGGTTATGTTGACGGAAGTTAGCCTATTTTCAGGCACTGCGTAATATCATTGCGCCTGCTGCACCCATGGTACGGCAGCAAAGTTCCTTGA